AATAATAATAATAATAATAATAATAATAATAATAATAATAATAATAAATAATGTCTTGCCCAGAACCGGCCTTCCACTTGGACGGTGGGCAAAATGATGCCAAACCCTTCCGACACTTCTTTTTCGTAGGCCGCATCTCTCGCAGACCGACTTACAACGGCCCGTGACGCGTGTAGCCGTTTCCCCACGACTCGCCGCCCCGCTTACTTTTTTACCTGCTCTTTCTTCTCGGGAGCTCGGCGGCAAACAGGAAGTCGCTTTCCTCGACCATCTAGCTATGAGGCCCCTCTAGGAGTGTCAACTCCGTGCCTTTAACTCTTTTATGGCCAAGGAGTCGAGCTCGGATGAAACCGGCTAGCGGAAGTGGTGTTATTTTTTTGTTTTTTGTTTTAAAGACGATGCTGAGCGGGGGAATCATGGGAGTTGAAGTCCGCACATCTTCAAGTTGCCAAGTTCGAAAAAACACTGCTTTAAGGGGGAATAGTTTTATATTGCCATCATTTGGTCGCCACAATGTTAAAAAAAAAAAAAAGATGTTGAGACTCTAGAAAGACAAAGCCACAAAGATGATTAGGGGACTGGAGGCTAAAACGTATAAAGAACGGTTGCTGGAATTGGGTATATGTTTAGTGTAATGAAAAGAAGGACCAGGGGAGACATGATAGCAGTGTCCCAATATCTCAGGGGCTGCCACAAAGAAGAGGGAGTCAAGCTATTCCCCAAAGCGCCTGAGACAGGAGAAGAAGCAATGGATGGAAACTAATCAAGGGAGGAAGCAACCTAGGACTAAGGATAAATTTCCTGATAGTTACAACAATTAATCAGTGCCTCCAGAAGCTGTGAATGCTCCAACACTGGAAATTTTTAAAAAGAGATTGGACAACCATTCATCTGAAATGGTTTCCTGCAGAGGGTTAGACTCACTAGAAGACCTCCAAGGTCCCTTCCAACTATTGTTCTGTTCTGTTCTGTCTACTTCTGTTCCCATTCTATTCTACCACCCCTCCTCCTAGAAGAATGAAGTATTTTGAGAAATATTAATGTTGCATTGTGGGAAAAGAGACTGCGTGTTTGATTAGTATCTTCTTGGGTTTCTTTTGGTAATTTATTCATTTGTCGCATGGTGGCTGCCGATTTCTGTGTGGCTTCCGCTGCGGTGGCTTCTTCTATTGCCTCCTTCAATGTTATCTTAGGTCTTGTTAGTAGTCGACCCTGTAGTGTAAGGTCCTTTAATCCGAGGACCACGCGGTCCCTCATGGCCTCATCCACGTTTAGAAATTCGCATGCTCCGCCAATGTCTCTTAGTGCTGCAACAAAATCTCCGATGCTCTCGTCTTCCTTTTGGTCGCGCCAATAAAATTCGTGTCTTTTGATGACGCATGAAACGGTTGGTGCATAGTGGGCTCGCAGTAATTTCTCTAGGTCCGTCCACACCATCGTCTTTACATCGTTGGGTGCTGCCAATGCCTTTGCCATTTTGAATACTGTGGGACCGCAGTGGGTGAGGAAGACGGCTCTCTTCCTATTTTCGGATATTCCTTGGAGATCGCGCCCTTCTAGAAACATGAGGAATCGGTCGATGTAGGATTCCCAGTCTTTGGTTGTTGGGTTGAATGGTGCGGGTGGCGAGTTGTTCCCGGCCATTTCGTCTCGCTCGGTCCTCGTTGCCACGTGCACAACTGGGCTCCTTTGTCCCACCTTCGTCGCCAGTGATGCGTTGTGGGAAAAGAGACTCGAGACCCAGTTGACCTTTTTCCCTTTTTATTTTCTTTCTAGTAATCGCATGCGGAGAAACCGCGGCAGCCTTTTTTATAGCTGGCTGCTTGCGGCTCGTGGCCAATGACGGCTCTTCAAATCTCCCGCCACCACGGACCAACCTATCATAGATAAGTATGCAAATATATAACAATTAATATTAGTTCTGTAACCAGAACTGCAGAAGGCATGCTTGACTACTTTTATAATTCCTATATTTCTATACCTTATCTGTTGTGTGCCAGTTTCCTGTTATGTAACTAAGTAAAAGCAAAGGAATCTTTTTTATATATATAAAAGCGAAAAAACACTCATGCATCATTACAAAATCTCCAGAACCACAAAGCCTACAAACTTGAAATTTGCTATGTATGTTCCTCTTGGCTTCTAGGTACTCACTGAGAAAGGATTTTTTTCAAAATGACCATCAGAGCATTAGTATTTCCTATATTATTATTATTAACACGCTCTGATGCTAAGGATTTCTACTCTCCCTCCCCACCTGAAAAGAAATCTGTTCCAAATGCAAAACACAATCAGAGGAGAGGAGTTTCAGTTTTACTTTCACAGCAGCAAGCAGCTTTAGTACAGAATAGTTGAGTTCAGCCACGCCTAGGCTCCTTGCTGTCTCCTTGCTCACACAGCAAATACTGTTTCAGTTTCCAAACAGCCCTCAACCCTCTCACACACTGACAGGATGCTGGCCACGTGAATACGGATGGATGCTGTTAGGCAGAGGCAGAATTTCCCCCCTTATTCTCCTCCCCAAAAACTAACCCCGACCATATCGTTTCAGAGTGAAGCACGGGTATCCAGCTAGTGTATAAATATCTGCCTTACACTATGTTCAGGGTTCCTTCCTTTTCAGAAGGGGACCCGTCTTTATTCACCTGAATAAATGTGTTGGCTTATCAACACACACACCTGGACTGTTTTTTTTATTTCACCAAGCCACACCTGTCAATCGGCAAAGCACCGCTGAACAGATACAGTAGTCCTAACCTGAATATAGGTAGTCCTAGACTTACAACCATTCATTTAGTGACCGTTCAAACTTA